TCATAGAAGACAGCTGGTAAAAAATAAAGCTTCAGGGGGTGGCAGAGTACTCAAGGGTAAAGTGAGTGCTTAGCACACATAGGACCCTGGGTTCCATAAATAAATACAAACATACACACATGCATACAGATGCACATAAAACAATTAAGTTTCAGTACTTAAAGACTCAATCAGTTATCAGAACTGATTGTGAGTCATCTGATATGGATGCTAGGAATTGAACTCTGGTCTTCTGCAAGAGCAGTATGCATAAGCCATTTCTCTAGTCCTTAAATTGTTTGTTTGTTTGCTTTTTGCTTTTGTTTTTAGAAACAGCATCTCCCTGATCAGGATACATGGATTAACTCCCTGCACGTAATATTTGCTCAATAAATACTTTAAATAAATGTGGATCAGTAATAAAACAAGGATAAAAAAATGAATGAGAAATTTCTTCACCTAACCTCTCATGGAAAACCCAAAGCACATTCACTTTGTTCATGGGTATCAGAGGGAAGTCACCAAGGTTACAAAGTTACAGAGACATTACAAAATAATTCACTATTATTACCCATGCTGGATAGAACCTAATGCCTCACCATACTAGGCAGGCACTCTATCACTGAGCTATATCACTAGCCTTTTTTTTTAAACTACAACTTTCTAAACATGAAATTGCAGTACCTCCACACATACAAGTAAACCTATAGCCTCAGTTTATATACACTATGATCTTAAGTGCTTAAACTCTGTAGAAAACAAATCATTTTAATTATGCTTATTCCATTTTTACTGTTCAAGTCCCTTATCACTGTGCCTGCTAGCTGAAGTAGCAGACTTCAGACTCTTCCAACCCAAACTTATCCTCCAAACCACAGGTGTAAAATAAAATAAAATGTAGGTTTGATCAGATTCCTTCCCCGTTTGTAAAGCTCAACTGACTCTTTAACAAATAGAAGATACAGCCCCTCATAATTTGGTCTTAACCTAAATTTCCTGTCATAAACTACTGCCTATCTATAACCCATTCTTTCATGTATTTGAATAAATATTTGTCTCTCTTTAAAAAAAAAAACCCTTCCTGGAAGACTCAGGAAACTTCACTAAGAGTATTTTTGAGTCCTATAAGCTATGAAGACCTACCAGTAAAGAAGAGTGAGTGCATTTCTTTCTTTCCCCCCCTTCTTTTTGGCAGTACTGGGGCTCAAAGCCAGGTTTGCTGCATGCCAGGCAAGTGATCTACACTGAGCAGTTCCCTGGTAGGTTGAGTCCTTCCCCTACTACACTCCCATGCCATTTTACACATGTCCTTTTGTAAGACCACTCACAAATTTTATCAGACTAACTGGCCGACACACAAACATTTCCTTCTTTTTTTATTTCCTTTATCTCCTTACCAGCACCTGTCACGTACTGGGCACTTACTCTGTGTTGGATTTACAAAAGGCTACATAAACGCCACAATATCAAAACCTTCCAGAGAAAATAATCTCTTTGTGAATTAATTCTTTCTCAAGGGCTCTGGTGCATTCAGAATTCAGGGCAGTAAGGCTTTTGACAGGTCTTTCTATACATAAAAGATAACTCAGGGTGTGGTGGCTTTAATCCCACCACTCAAGAGGCAGGAGGCAGACAGATCTCTGTGAGATGGAGGCCAGCCTGGTCTACATAGTGAGTTCTAGGTTAACTGGGGCTACAGGGAGACCCTGTCTTAATAGTGAGACCCTGTCTCAAAACATTGATTGTACCATCTACCCAGCCATTCATTTAGCATATTAAGTTCCTACTAAGTAAAAGGCACACGTCTGAGGATTCAAATGACATCCACTTCAAACATAAGTGAAGCAGCATGGGTAGGGACCAGGGCAAATTTCTCGGCCTGGGTGACATTCAACAGTCTTATCTATAAAATGAGACCAATAATAATTGTCCTACTTCAGATACATACATATATATATATGTGTGTGTGTATGTATATATGTTCCTCTTTTTGAAGCAGGGTCTCCCTGTAGTCACAGCTGGCCTGAAACTCACTATGTAGACCAGGATGGCCTCCACTTCACAGAGATCTGCCTACCTCTGTCTCCCAAGTGCTAGGATTAAAGGTGTGCACCACCAAGCCCAGAGATTTAGTAATAGGATCACATGAGGCACCAAAATGTGAAATGGAAAGGCACTTTCAAATATAAGGTCATTAATAAAAATCTGATACAAGGTTACATATCAGGAGTGATACTTATCTCCAAAAACACAGTAAGAGAGTTTGTTTCATTACATCATTTAATATAACAAAAGTTTAATCAACAGTCTGTGTATCAGCTGGACTTGGTGGCTAACATCTGAAATCTGAGCACCGAAGATGTTGAGGCAGTAGGAACACTATGACTTTGAAGTCAGCTTGGGCTACAGAGTAAGTTCCAGGCTAGCCAGGCCTACTCAGGGAGACCCAGTCTCAAAAAACAGGAAACAAACTGGGCATGGTACTTCACATCAGAACACTACAGCAGTAGAGGCAGGCAGATCAGCGTGAATTCAAGGCCAGTCTGGTGTCTACATAGTGAGTTCCAGGCTCACAAGGGCTACTTAGTGAGACCTTGTGTATTTTTTTTAATGTGTATGAGTGTATATTGCCTGCATGTATGCAAATGTACCTGTGTCATGAGGAGGTCAGAAGAGGGTGTCAGATCCCCTGGAACTGAAGTTACAGATGGCTGTTAGCCACCATGTGGGTACTAGGAACGGAACGCCATTAACCACTCTTAACCACTGAGCCATTTCTCCAGTCCCAAGACCCTGTCTTAAAAGTCTACATATCGACGGGTGTGGCGGCACATGCCTTTAATTCTAGCACTCAGGACGCCTTTAATTCTAGCACTCAGGACACCTTTAATCCTAGCACTCGGGAGGCAGAAGCTGGTAGATCTCTGTGAGTTCAAGGCCAGACTAGTCTATATGGTGAGGTCCAGGCAAGGTGGGGCTACAGGGAGACCCTGTCTCAAAAAAAGATTTTTTAAAAAGTCTACATATCATGATAGTGTGCTCAAGTACTAAATTGCTAAAAAATTTTAAAGGCACAATTACTTTCTTTAGAGAGCTTACATTCTAAGAGAGATAATAAATTTCTCACAGTCATAGTACAAAGTAAATTTAGCAAATATAGGATTTTTTTTCTTTTTGGTCTTTTTGAGACAGGGTCTCTGTAGCCCCAGCTGGCCTAGAACTCACTTTGTAGACCAGGCTGGCCTTGAACTCACAGAGATCCGCCTGCCTCTGCCTCCCGAGTGCTGGGATTAAAGGAGTATGCCACCATACCCAGCACAAATATAGGATTTATAAGCCCAGCACATAATATGTTCTTGACATAAAGATTTTAGAAAGCATCATAAGGAAGAGGTGGCATTTCAGGCACTGAAGAACACTACAAAGACAGTAAGGCCTTCTTTATAGAGGGTAGGTAAGCAGACAATACATTAAAAAAAAAATCCCACTTCAAATTCAAATTAGGCCAGGGGAGATGGCTCACACCTGTCATCCTAACATTCCAGAGATCGATGCCGATGCCGGAAGGCTGCCACAGTTAGAGGCCAGTTTGGGCTACTTAGTGAGTTTCACACCAGTTCTGGTGTGAAACTGTCTCATTACAAATGAATAAATTAAAAAAAAAATATATATATATATATAGGCATTCAATGAGTTTTCTAAAAACACAGAAAGTGTGGGATAAAGTACTTTTCATTGTTTTGGGTTTTTTTTTGAGGTGGGGGATGTTTGAGACTAGGTCTCACTCTAGCCCCAGCCGGCCAAGGAACTGGCTATGTAGACTACGTTGGCCTTGAACTCAGAGATCCATCTGCCTCTGTGCTAGGATTAAAGGTGTGTGCCACCATACCCAGCCAGATAAAGTTCTTTATAAAAGAGAGTCACAGTGGGTCATATTGATTGAATTAATGGAAGGGCTTACATTTTGAACAGCTCCCTAAATTATTTAAAATTTATTCTAGGCTGGGGGTACAGCTTAGGGGCAAGTATGCCCTAGGTTCTGTCCCCAGAACCAATAGATAAATGAATAAATAAACAGTCACTCTGAGAGAAGAATTTCAAGAGGGAAATTAAACCTTTGGCTTTAAAAAGCAATTACACCAGCCAGGCGTGGTGGCGCACGCCTTTAATCCCAGTACTTGGGAGGCAGAGGCGGATCTTTGTGAGTTCAAGGCCAGCCTGGTCTACATAGTGAATTCCAGGACAGCTGGGGCTACAGGGAGACCCTGTCTCAAAAAGACCAAAAATAAAAAAGCAATTACAAAGAACTAAAGGAACAGCTCAGTCCAATATTCCCACTGGATTCCATTTCCAGGAGAGAGAGAGAGAGAGAGAGAGAGAGAGAAAGAAGACAAAATAGTAGTTGAAAGGAGGGAGGGAGACTGGCTAAAAGCAAGTCCAGTTTGTTAGTTATTGGTACAGAACAAGGAGAAGAGGCCAGAAGATAGAAGAGTCCACTTAGCAAAGGCAGTGGAAATTTAAAAGGGGAATAAAGTCAGAGTCAGAAATGTAACCTCACAAATTGTTCACTTAAAAGGAGACAACCAGTGTTTGTACCAATGGAAGTAAGCCCACCATGTGCGAAACTACCCAACGTCTAACTATCAAAGTCAAATACTAGTAACACTTAACTTTGGTGCCATTTCAAATACTGCAGTTCATGGAATGTAAGTTGCTTGCTAAAATAAGGCCCATTATTCCAGGACATATTCTTTAATTTATTTGAACTAACCTTGAACTAGAGGAAAGTTTAGCTGGTTTAAATAAAAATGTCATTGAAATACTGAAAAGAGGCAGCTAACACACACACCCTCTGACAAAGACAGCCAGACATACACACACATACAGAGACACAAAGATACACAGACACACACACACACACACACACACACAGAGAGAGAGAGATAGAGAGAGAGAGAGAGGCACACTCTGATGGGAATCGTCCACAGTCTCAGACAACCCTTGCCTCCTGCTAGCCTTACCAAGGGCACCCTTTCCATTTCTTGAAGTCCCTGCAGGTCCCTGGGCACAAGGTCCTCGTCGGGCGCATCCGTCTTCACCCCAGGGTCACAGGCTGAGCGGGAGCTCAGGGGACAGTCACTGAAGGAGTGACTGGCCGCTAGCCTGGCCCCCTAAGTCACTGGGCCTGGCTCTCAGGCACACTGCCGATTCCATGCCCTGCCACACCCCTCTCCTCGGGACCTTTTCCTCCTCCACCCAGTACATTCCTGCACGTCCCGGCTGGAGCTACAAGGTGCCCCTTCATCGGCCCCTGGGCTTCAGGTCTCCGCGGTGCCCGGGTCTCCCGGCATCCCCCTCCGCCCACCCCGGGCCGCCTGCAGCCCCGGTCCAAGCAACGCGCACCCCCGGACCAGCGCCCTCAGCTCACCCGCCGCGCTGCTCGGCCAGCTGCCCGCACTGGAGCCCGAGGCTCCGCGACGCCGGACGCCCCAGGCTGCCGAGCTCTCCGGGTCCGCCGAACCCTCTGCCCCGCAGCGCCGCCAGCTCTCGCCGCCGCTCCTGCCACCTCGGTGCGGCCCAGGCGTTTCCGGGTTCCCGCGGTCCGGTCAGCCAAAGGCTCCGGCTTCCGCCTGGGCCCCGACACATGCGGTTCCCCGCTCGGCTCCGGTGGCCCCAGCTTCGCGCTCGCAGCCGTGTCCCCAAGGCGACCACACCCGAGCTGCACCTCAGGCAGTTCGAGGGACCCTAGAGCCTCGTCCCGGGACCAGAAAGGGTGATTGTCGCCGCAGACCTCGGCCGGATTGTCTGGCTGCCGAAAGCTGCTAGGTGATCCCAGGCTTAAGGAAGGGCAAAGTCCTTTGGGGCAAAGGACCCTGATACCTAGAGGCGGATCTTGGCTTCAAAAAATGACCATTAATGACCTGAAAACAAGATTAGCCCTGGTGCATGTTACCAACCACACAGCCTGGGAGCTCGTTCAGTTAGAAATGACCCCTGCCCCCGCCCTGACTGAGACCTAGAGACACAGAGGAACCCAAAATGGACTTGTCACTAAACAGAGAGAAAGGGGGCAGAGAGAGACCCTTATGGAAGAGCGATTTGCCTTTTCCTATCTGCACGGATCGCATACACATTGCTTTTTAAGGGCTTTCCAATATCGTTGTTGAAAGTCTTCTAACCACTACACACTGCTGGCAATGGACAGGTTTGATTATGGAATACAGCAGAATCACTGCCTTTCCTGTTACTGTAAGGCTAGAAGAATTAAGCCTTTGCTTCTTCGTATTGCAAACGAAAAGTATGCTTGAGAGAAGCACAGAAACAGAGCAAGGGAGGCTGGAGAGATGACTTAGAGGTTAAGAGCATTGGCTGCTCTTGAAGAAGACCCAGGTTCGAATACCAGCACCCACAAGATGGCTAACAACTGTCCCTAATTCCAGTTCCAGGGGCTCCAGTGCCTTCTTCTGGCCTTTGTGGGCCCTGCATGACACTCGTGCACTTACATACATGCAGACTTAACACTCATACACGTAAAATAAGAATAATTTTTTAAAACTAAAAAGAAACAAAGCAAGGAGAAAAATGTATTAGCACAGAATACATCACTAAATTTTTGCAATCTGGCCTTGAGAAAATTCCTGGATGATGGAATATAAATTAGATCTTCGTATTTGTTAGCATTTGAATCTGAAATATCCCCCAAAGACTCACCACAAAGCTTGGTTGCCACTAATGGACTTTGGGAAAGTGATTGGATGATGAGAGCTCTGACCTAAGGCTCTGTATGATGTTTTAAATCATGAAGGTATTATTGGGAGGTGGTAGAAATTGTGGAAAATGGGGCCTTATTGGAAGAAGTGGGTCACTAGCCTTTGGGGATATGTCTTAGCACTGGCCTCTTCCTCTCTCTTTATTTCTTGGATACCATGATGTCAGCAGTGCTACTCCACCATCTGCTCTCTACTATGGGCCCAGAAACAATGGTACTAAGTGACCATGGACCAAACACTCAGGAACCATGAGCCCAAATAAGTCACCCCTCCCCCAAAATGTTTTCTCAGGCATTTTGTCACGGTGCCAAAAAGTACCTAAAATAATACTTGTCTTTTGTTTTTTTCTGCTTTGTTTTGTTTATAATTTATTTTTATTTTGTGTTTATGTGTGTTTTGCCTGCATATGCCTAAGTGTGTCTGTGGATACAATGCCTGCAAAGGCCAGAAGAAGTAGTCGACCCCTGGAACTGGAGTTAAGTACTGTAAACTGCCATGTGGATGCTGGAAACCAAACCTGGGTCCTCTGGAAGAGCAACCAGGGCTCTTAACCACTAAGCCATTTCTCCAATCCCTTGTTTTGTTTTTAAAGGCAGGAGCTCACATTTAGCTCAGGCTGATCTTGAAGGCCTTGATCTCCTGGTAACAATTCTGTCTCAGTTTCTCATATGCTGGGATTATAGGCCAGATCCTGTAATGAGCATCAGATTTGCTGTCCTTTCTTTTTTTTTCTTTTCTCCCTCTTCTCCACCTCAGTACTGGAAATTGAACCCAGGCCCTGATCCATATTCACTTTCCCACTAAGTCACATTCCTAGCCCTTCTCTAATTTTTAAAGAAACGTGCCAGCCTTATTTTATATACATACGTATAGATGTGTGTGTGTGTGTATGTGTGTGTATATATACACATGCAGTTATACAGAGGATAAAGGCCCAGTAAATATGTTTGACTGTAAAGGGAAAGGAAGATTAAAATACATTACAAGAAAAATATCTCATAATGTAAGTTCTTTTTTGTTGTTATTTTATTTTGCTTTTGGTTTTTTGTTTGTTTGGTTTTGTTTGACAGAGTCTCCCTAGTCCCAGCCCTCCTGGAACTCACTATGTAGACCAACTAACATATGCCTAATACATGATAATGAGAGTTTGGCCCTATTTTGAGATTTTTTTTGTGTGTGTGTGTGTGTGTGTATGTGTGTGTATATATACACATGCAGTTATACAGAGGATAAAGGCCCAGTAAATATGTTTGACTGTAAAGGGAAAGGAAGATTAAAATACATTACAAGAAAAATATCTCATAATGTAAGTTCTTTTTTGTTGTTATTTTATTTTGCTTTTGGTTTTTTGTTTGTTTGGTTTTGTTTGACAGAGTGTCCCTAGTCCCAGCCCTCCTGGAACTCACTATGTAGACCAGGCTGGCCTTCATCTCACAGAGATCTGCCCACCTCTGCTGGGATTCAAGGTGCTACCACACCCAGTATGATTTTTAAATTTTATTTAAGGTGTATTTTATGTGTTTTGCCTGCATGTATGCATGTGTACTACATGTGTGCAATGCCTGTGTAGTTCAGAAGAAGGTGTAGATCCTCTGGAACTGGTGTTACAGAGAGTTGTGGCCTGCCATGTGGGTGCTGGGAACTGAACCTAGGTCCTCTGCAAGAGCAGTCTTAACTGCTGAGCCATCTCTCCAGCCCCAAGATTTCACACATTTCTTGTTATTTTTGGTCTTTTTGAGATAGGGTCTCCTGTAGCACTAGCTGGCCTACAACTCATTATATAGACCAGGCTGGCCTCAAACTGGCAGAGATCCACCTACCTCTGCCTCCTGAGTGCTGGGATTACAGGCGTGCATCACCACACCTCACAATTTCAGACATTTCTAACAACCTGTCAGACTACCTTGCAAGAGACACTGGAACCAAAATAATGATGGGTAAATGATATTGAGACCATTCCTTGACCAAAACTGCTTAGTTATATATAACTCTTGCCCTCTGTTTAAACTTCAACCTCATGTTAGGACCTCAAGACGAACTTGGGGATGTCCCCTGGACCTCTTTGTTATTCCTAATGTGGCCACATGGAATAAATCTCCCTTTTCTGCTTTTCTGTATTACTCATCTCTTTAATTAGCCTATTGGGGACAGGTGGTCCAGCCTAGCTTGTTAGGGATTCAGGGTCCATTCTTTGACCCTAATAATAATTCCAGCACTTGTAGGACTAAGGCAGAAAGACTTCAGTGAGTTAATTCCTAATGTGGCCACATGGAATAAATCTCCCTTTTCTGCTTTTCTGTATTTCTCATCTCTTTAATTAGCCTATTGGGGACAGGTGGTCCAGCCTAGCTTCTTAGGGATTCAGGGTCCATTCTTTGACCCTAACAACTCAGTAATAATTCCAGCACTTGTAGGACTAAGGCAGAAAGACTTCAGTGAATTAAAAGCCAGCCTGGGCTACATAGTGAGTTCCAGAGGGCCTCAGCTATAGAGTGAGACCCTGTCTGAAAAAAATAAAACAGGAACTCAGTATGTGTTTCCTGAACTGAACCAGACTGAACTGAACTGGTTGACAATGACATCTGAAATAAATGAAGACACCACAGAAGCTCAAGAGGGCACGAATGTAGGTAGAGCGGGAACTGCAAGTGTAGATGTGAAATGGCTCCAGGAAATATTCAAGGCCTGAAGCTCTTTTGATAATAACAATCCTGGCATGCTTAAGTGTCCATTATCTGTAGAGTAGGCATTAGGGCTGGGCATTTTACAGGAGAAGCTGGCACTTACAAATGTGAAGTAATTTGAGCTCCCATATACACTGAAAGAGAAGCTGGAGTTCAAATCCTTGTCTATAGATATACTTTGTTTTTTTCAGTGCTGGGGATCAAACCTAAGTCTTTGCATGTGCTAGGCAAGCATGCTACCATTGAGCTAAACTCCGAAGCTCTTAAAAACCATACTTTAAAACATTACATGGACTGGAGAGATGGCTCAGCAGTTAAGAACACTGGTTGTTCTTGCAGAAGACCCAGGCTCGAATCCCAGCACCCACATGGCAGCTAACAACCGTCCATAACTCCAGTTCCAAGAGACCAAACAGCCTCTTCTGTCCTCCTCAGGCATTGCATGACACTAGTGTACTTACCTACATGCAGACAATACACATATACACATAAAATAAAAATAATAAATAAAATAAATTGTTTCTTAACAAAAATTACATTTGGCTCTAAGAGCTAAAAAAGTGAGACAGAAGAGGAATGAACACAGTAAGAAGAGATGGTAACTGGGCTTGATGGCGACGTCCTTAATCCCAGCACTCCGGAGGCAGAGGCAGGTGGATCTCTGTGAGTTTGAGGCCAGCCTAGTCTACATGGCAAGTTCCAAGCCAGT